AAGCAAAAGGTCATTAACAAGACAGGAAAGAAAAGACCAAAATGGATGTCAGAAGAGACTCTGATATTTGCCCTTGAATGGAGAGTAGCTACAGCAAATGGAAGAATTGAGGAAGTAAAAGAGCTGAACAGATTTCAAAGAGCAGTTTGAGAATACAACACATTATAAAATAAAATGTGAAAAGACCGGGAGTTAGAAAACCAAAAAGGGAAGAACATTTCTGAACCTGAAAGAACATAAGAAAAAATTCAAGCCTCAAGTTGCAATACTGAAGGATTCTATGGACAAAATACTGAATGATGCAGGAAGTAACAAAAGAAGATGAAAGGAATACACAATCACTGTACCAAAAAGAACTGGTTGATGTCCAATCATTTCAGGAGGCACCACACAATTAAGAACTGATCATACTGAAGGAAGAAATGCAGGTTGAACTGAAGGCATTGGTTAGCAAGGTTTCAGTAACTGCTGGAATACCAATTGAAACATATGAACAAACGGATGCAATGTTGGAAGCACTCTCTTCTATGCCAATGAATTTGGAAGACAGCTACCTGGCCAATTGAATGGAAAAGATTCATATTTGTGCCCATTCCAAAAGAAGTGATCCAACACAATGTGTGTCAGTATTGTATACTTTCACCATTACTTATTCAATCTGTATGTTGAGCAAACAATCCAAGAACCTGGATTTTATTAACAAGAATGCAGCATCAGGATTGAGGCTCATTAACAACCTACAACACGAGTATGACATAACCTGTTTGCAAAAGCGAAGAGGACTTAAAGCACTTAACTGCTGAAGATCAAAGACTACAACGTTCAGTATGGATTGCTGTTGTTATGTGCCGTCGAGTCAGATCCGACACATAGTGACCCCTCCTTGGGTTCCGAGGCAGTATCACTATGGAAGTAGATTGCCCCATCTTCCTTCCGAGGAGTGGCTAGTGGGTTTGAACCGACAGCCTTCTGGTTAGCAGTCAAGCGCCTTAGGCACTACGCTACCAGAGCTTCTACTCAGTATGGATTACACTTCAACAAGAAGAAAATAAAAATCCTCACAATTGAACCAATAAGCAGCATGATGATCAATGGAGAAAAGAATGAAGTTGTCAAAGAAATCATTTTACTTGTATCCATAATCAATGCCCATGGAAGCAGCATTTAAGAAATTAAATCATGTTTTGCATTGGGCAGTCTGCTGCAAAGGACCTCTTAAAGTGTTGAAAAGCAGATGTCACGTTGAGGACTAAGGTGCGTCTGATTCAACCCATGGTATTTTCAATAGCCTCATACATATGTGAAAGCTGGACAACAAATAAGGAAGATCACAGAAGAAGAACTGATGCCTTTCGATTATGGTGTTGCTGAAGAATACTGAATATATCATGGACTGCCAGAAAAACAAACAAATTTGTTTAGAAGAAGTACAGCTAGAATACTCCTCAGAGTATGCTATGTTATCAGGATGATCCAGTCTCTGGAGAAAGACATTATGCTTGGTAAAATAGAAGGTCAGCCCAAAAGAGGAAGACCCTCAGTAAAATGGATTAACACTGTGGCTGCAACAATGAACTGAAACACAGCAATGACTGTGAGGATAAGCCAGGACCAGGCAGTGTTTTGTTCTGTTACGCATATGGCATATAGTTGCTATGAGTTGGAACTGACTTGATAACATGTAACAACAAGAAGCACAGCTTGGCATTGCCCTAACAAGGTAATCATGAATACAAGAGTAATTGATGTAATTTACCACAAGGCGGGGTAAGAGTTCTCCAACACACACACATACACACATAGGCCTTTTCTTTCAAAAGTCTAGGGATGTGACTTATTCTATTCTGCCATCTAGTGGCACTACAAGCAGGTATTCTCTTCCATCAGTCCTCTATCCAAGAAAAAAAAAAAAACCGTTAAGAATTAAATGAGTTCAGGATTAAGCACAGGAATTAAAATAGTAAGAGCACTTAGTATAATGGTAAGGAGAGTCATGGGAGAATGTTAGAGTAAAGCCCTGTACTGGCGAAACAGGTTTAAAAATAAAATCTATTTTAAAACTAAAACGATACATATTTTAAAACATAACTCCCTTCTTCTCTTCCTTCTTTTTCATATAAAGATTATTACACAATTCTAAAGGTGGCATAAACCACCTCCTTCAAAGAACAAGGAATTTGTATTTAAACATTTTTAAAGCTGTCTTTTCCAGTTAATAAAACTAAAAACTACAAAATCATATGGAAGGATAATTTCCTTCTAGAGACCATCTAAGGTCTCTAGAGACTTACATTAGTTTTGGATAAGGCCATTTAGATTTATAGTTAGTGGCTTTTTTTCTTTCACTGAAAAACAGTGCTTTCATCTGCTTAAGTTTTACATTTGCAATTTCTTTACGGGGCACATAAAATGTGCCCCCAAAATGTAGACAATGTCAAACATACATAAAGAAAATGTTAAAATTCTTGATAAATAAAAAATCTCCATAAATCAATCAGACAAAGAGGATCATTCCAAAAGGAAAACAAAAATGTATGATCAAGCAATTTATAAATAATACAGTTAAAAATTATCACTCATTAGTAATCTAATACTGATACAACTGGTGTTGGAGACGCGTAGTGAAGGAGATGCTACTGGTGAAAGTATAAACTGAACAACCTTTCTAATTGGCCCTAAATGGCAGTATGTTTTTTAGTTACAATTTCAACCTATAAGAATTTATTCTAGGAAATAACTCCAAGTTTATAAGTAAAAATATTAATCTATAAAGATATTATTAATCAAAATGTTATTTATAATAGCCAAAGCCTGGCCACATGCTAAACTCTAACAATAGTTACTAGCTGAATAAACTATGGTGCATCCATACGCTGGAATACTATGTAGCTATTAAAAGTTATGTGAAGACTGCCATGAGTTGGAATGGACTCAATGGCAAACAACAACAGAGATATTAATGACAGCAGAGAATTCTCACCTTGGTTAGGTAAAAAAAAAATAAGTAGGTTGCAACATTATATGTATAGCATGATACTAATTTTTCTTTTTGAAAAAGGTACTTTATTTTCTTCTTTGTGCTTTTCTAAATTTCCCAAAGTACATGTATTACTTTATAAATCAAAATATGACAAAATTACTAATACATATCACAAAACTCTTGATTCATATAAAATATACAATTTTCCAATCAAATTTACACTTATATATTTAGATGAGTAGAAATAATCTTGGGTTAAATACAGGTTTGAGACGTATGCATTTGGCACAAAAAGGGTATTGAGAAAAATTTTTAGATCATTTCAAGAAACCACTTAAAGTTCTCACTTTACAGTGAGAACTACATATCTACTTTAGAAAACATATTAAAAAGTATTCTAATACATTAATTGTTTTGTATACCCTTTCTAACATCTCAGTAAAATTTTTTCTAATATTTAAATTTGCCTATTTCCTAAACTTAAAGCATTAAAATGACCCTCTTAAATATTAAAAATTATAAAACTGCGTATTATAATTTTCATATGGGAAATAACCTAAAGAAATTCTGTTATTTACTGCTGAATAGCTCATATGTCCAATAAAGATAGTATGTATTTAAATGTTGTCATTTTAAAAAATATCCACTCAAGAAGAAACGAAATTTCGTGTACTGAAACTAGCTGCTTCTGCCAACACAAGAAAACATATGTGAATTATGTTGTGCTAAGAGGAGTAGTGCCTAAGGCATCTGACTGCTAACCAGAAGGCTGGCGGTTCAAACCCACCAGCCACTCCTCGGAACGAAAGTTGGGCAATCTAATTCCGAAAACTACCTCAGACCCAAGGAGGGGCTGCTATGCGTCACAATCGACTTGACGGCAGTGAGTTTTTTTTTGAAGTAAAAATAGACATGAGTTTGTAACTGAAATTTCATTCACAAACTATAATGGTCTTCTACAGAATTTAGATATTACAGCTTTTCAACTATATTCTAAACAAAAAAATTAAAAATCAATTCAAATAATTCAGAATAAGTGCTTTATTTTTTTTAAATTCCCACAAAAACTGAAACTCTCATTTACATTAGTTGCAACAGCAATAAAAACTAGAAATAAATTTGCTACAACTCTTGAAAACACATTATGAGCATAAAACAAATTTAAAAGGAAAAACTAAGTACTCTTTTTAAGTTGAAGATAATCTGAGTGCTTGTGACATACCCACCTGCAGATATACAAACAGCAGATGCATTCAAAACAGTGCAAGATTTAATTAATTTACAACATTCTAGCCAATCCCAATGCAGTTTTCAATTACCTATGCAAGTTTATATAGAATCACAACAGTAAATCTCTCCTATTCAGAAAATTTCACACCAACACAGTAACTACAGGAGTCATGAGGTATGACTAAGGGTAGGGGGGAAAAAAAAACCCAGCATCCAAAGTGCAATACTTGAAAGTAACTGCTATCTTGCTAAATATTTTTACTCTTTTGGGGAGGGTGAGGGGTGGAGAATTTCCTTTAAACTATACATCTAAAAGAAAAGTAAACTTATCATTTCATAGTCTTTTTTCTGAATTAAAAAAATATATACGTAATCTTCCATTATATTTGATAAGTTCAAATATGAGTTGATAGTGGAGTAATTTGGAATCTTTAAGAAAACTCTATAGAAGAGATACAACATACTATATCTTCTTTAAGAAGTATGAGCTGAAATGTCAGGCATTCCTCGTGATGTTTTTGTACATATTTAAGGAATGCTGTTCTTATAAACAATGGCTCTGAAAAAGAAATACTGATATCAAAATAAATTACTAGAGGATCTCTATAAAGGTCCCCAAAACTATCCTTGTTTGCAAAATCGGGGAAGACATTTTCAGAATTTATCTTTCTAGAAAAAATGCCACCACTTCTCTTCTATTTTCTGTTTGTCACAATTAGACATCAGAAGATTTTTCCCAAATAAACACTGATGTAAATGTTGATTTCAAGGGCAAACAACTTTCATGAGTCTATTTCTCAGGCATTTCACCATTTGTTGAAACCGAGGCAGAGCTGTTCTGGTGTAAATTGTCACTGAACTCCTGTGAAGTATTTCTTCTGGGAGAGTTTCTTGCAGCCTGAAGGTGACTAGCAGATGCAGACTTAGCAGCATTTGGTGGCTTTGTAGAGGAATTAGATGGAAGTCTGTGACGACTACTCTCCTCACCATTAGTAGATGAAAGTCTTTTTCTTCCAAATTCTTCACTAATAGGGGGCTGCAAGTCATGAAACACAACAGTTGACAATTTTTACTGTTTTTTTCTCCCTTCAAAATTTAAGGCCAGGCTTTCTCAACAAAAAGAGAAATTACGTTGGTGCTTTAGTTGATTTTATTAGTGTAACACAAACTTAAGAGAAATTTAAAATATTAAGCATAAACTTCCTTCTCAACTAAATATGTCTGCTAACATTTGCTCATTCTTTCATTCAACACATTTTTATTAAGCTTCTTTTATGTTTTAGAGCCTCAGCTACATAGTAGGGCAAAACCATAAGGCTGGGAAGTATGTTCCTTGCTCCCAAGAAAATGTTTCAGAGACTGTTTTCCTTCTTATTCAACCTCTGTTAAACTCTTTAGAACTCTAGTCACTTCCTCAACTCTAACTTCCTATCCTAGGTTTGCTGAGGTGTGGTAATGTTTAACTAACAGGTAAATGAAAACAAAAGGGGGTAAAAAAGAGTTATCAAGTCAAATAACCTTCATGAAGTTTGAAGGTTTATCTAAGATTCTAGGATAAAGAGAGTAGTATTGACAATACTAAATTTAAACATCTTTCAAACATGAAATATCCACAAAACTTCCAAGTCCCTTCAAATTGCAAGGGGGCAGTGAAAAGATATCCTACACTGAAAAAAAAAAAAAAAAAAATAGCCAGCTTTATAGACCTTTCTAGTTACAGAGATTTAAGAACCCAGAACCATATAACACTAGACTAGTATTTTCTTTGGAGGCAAGTTAAGACAATAGCCTCCTTTTCCAATCTTTCAGTGTATTTACAAAAGGAGGTCTGACTTCTTAGTGGCTGTTCAGATAGGGCAAGAGTCACTATTATGAAGCAGGAACATCTTTGTGACAAAACTGACTGGGTCACTTTAGAAAAACAGCTCTTAATTCCAGTAACACAGGCATTTCTATTAACTCCATCTCTGAGCCACCCAATCCATTTACACAAAACAAATGAATTCAACAGTAAACAGAGATGGACCTGGCCTTCCTTCCATCTCATTGTATTCTGCTCTTTTTGATTTTCCTTTTTTCATTTATCTTCCAGTTTCTCTTCTTCCTCTTTCTCCCTTTTTTGTTCATCCTGTTCTTTTTCTAAAGTATTCCTTTTCCTCTTAAAATTCATTATTTAAAGGCTACCATGCTGTCTGCATTTATGAAAATAATATTCTTCCCCAAATACTTTACAGGGTACCCTAAATCCATCAGCACATGTTACAAAAACATTATGTGGCTAAAAGTACACTAAAAACTGGGACTTCTCTAAACTATTAATGAGAAATTACTAACATAGGCACATAAAAGTTATTAAATCTATAACATGTTTAATGATAAGGATGTATCAAAATAAAAATGAACTGACAATTGCACTATGTTTATTTAAGATTTTAACATTTGGGGAGTCTGGATGACAAAGTATACTATTTTTGCATCTGTTTTAAAGTTGTACATTATTTCTAAATAAAAAGTTAAAATATTAAAAAATTTAAAATAAAGAAAGCCATTGATAAGAGATAAATATATCAGGGTAATAAAAAGAATACAGAAGAAAAGACTTAAAACTTACATCAACACGGAAGTCTTCTAACCTCTTAAAACTACAGAGGTATTCCTGAAGTTTTGGGTCAATAGACTGTGTCTTAGATCGAGAATATTTTAGATAAGCCCAAAACTTTTCTAGTCCATACAGCTGACCTAATAACAAAGAAGAATATACACTATAAATTATACAGAATTATTGAAAAGTGAGTCACATTGAACATGATCCTACCAGTGCTTTTGGCATAAACCATTTATCTTCCAATAGATACCTACCTACATCTTCAGAATAAGACATATCATGAATTAACAATAATTTGTTATGTAACAGGTATTATTCTAAGTGCTTTATCATATATCTCACTCAACTGAAATGTACAAAACTCTCTAAGATAGGTGTTCTTATGTGTATTACAGATTAGGTAACTGAAGCTAGCAAGGTTATGAAACTTGCCCAAGTTCACATAACTACTAATTACAGTGAAAACTGTGAGAGCTGGAACTCAATGGGACAGCCTTGTTTTTCCAGGTCTCATATGTTTTCCGCCTTTGACAGAATGCAATTTTACCATTTTCTACTGCTATTAGCGGAAAATATTTTCCTTCTCTGACAGGTTTCTGCCTTACATGGGTTCCAGCTTTCGCTGATTTCACTGTAGTAGAAATGAGATGCAGATTTAGGATCCAGCCCAGCCTACACTCTTAATGCCTGTGCTAATTCCCCTCTCCAAGCATACCTGCTGATATTATACAGCATTTTCATTCACTAGCGCATCAGTGAGTAGCCATGCTTCTCAAGGGGGCAGTGATAAAATATACCTCTATAAAGGAAACACTTGGGAGCAGCTTTTTTTTCTAGCACAGAAAGGGCCTTCTTACTATATAGTATCCCCATCCTTCATTAAGAACTGCAATAGTGCCCTTAAGGTCTTAAATGGTCTGCTCTGAAGAAGAAAGTTATGTACTCCCTCCCTATTCATCGACAGACTCAGGTATACAATTTCCAAAGACAGTGTTTTTATTTTTGTTTTTACCAGATTCATAGTCTTTTTTTGTTTCTTCTTGAAAATCCTTAAAAATTTCTCGTCTGAATTTTTTTTCCAATCCATAACTATAAAATCTGAACAGACATTCTAACCCATACCTGTGGAAAGTAAATAAAAGATTTATAATCATTCTGCCTATGATAATGCAAGAGTTCATATTTAACAACATGGATAACACATATATAAAGTACAAATAATTCCTAACAAAATCTTTTCAAATGTATGCAATTTTTAATATGCAGATATGTTTAACTGAGGTGGTACTAGTAATCCATAGCTGGATGTGCTGTTTTTGTTGACTTAGCCATAACACTTCATGAAAGTATAGGGAACCTATAGAATGACAGGCAGCATTTGGACAGTTAAAATATTGCTTTCTTTGGAAGGATGCCATCTCTCCTAGTTATTTCTAAAGAACTGGTCAAAAGACTGAGTAACAAGTTAGAAATGTTTCAATTTTTACCAAACCAAGATTTATAATGGTGTTTGTGCATGGCATTACTCTTAGACATAATCTTCACTCTAGATAAAGACCATACTCTTTTGCCCTGGATCCTATGTGTGTTGGGTCCATTCAATCGTAACAGAACAAATCTAATTAAATAGGTCCTAAGAGACATTTCTGCTTTTTGTGTAAAGTATAATTAATAGCAGATATTTTGCTAAAAGAGCTACAATCACAAGATAAATAACAAAGCAAATTTCCTTGTTTTCTTCTATAACTACCTAGAGAAGATGAGACAAGACAAGCTGTCTTGTGTGGGCTAGCAAACTACATAGGTTCTACCTTCAACTAATGGGAATAAGCAGAATCTATGAAAGTGGACAAGGGCATTAAGACAGAAGTAAAAGGACCATGCCTAGCTGACTCAACTAAAAGATGTTACTTGAAAAGCCATTTTCCTTCAAAAGTTTATGAGTCATGAGGGCACTGTCCCCCTTTATTAGTTCAATTGCTCCGCATAAAGCCATGTTGTAAGCTGCCTTATGAAGGGGCCCATGTGGCTAAGGAACTGAATGAAGCCTGTTGCCAACAGCTATGTGAGTGATTTGAAGAGAGGCTCTTCAGCCCAAGCCAAGTCTTCGGAGATTGCAGTTCTGTCTAGTACTTTGACTGTAATCTCATGAGGGACCATCAGCCAGAACCAACCAGCAATGCTTTGAAACCATGTGAACTAATAAATGTTTGTTGATTTAAGCTAAGTTTTATATAACAATAGCTCTAATATGGCCTCCCTCCAACTATCTTGTACTACTATCACAGTTCAAAATCAGGATATTTCATTACTAGTTTTTATTGGTATTATTTTAAAAATTACCCCCAAGTATAAAAATATTAGAAAATATTTGACCTGTAATTTTCTTTTGCATCTTCCCAAGCAAGTTGTCTAAACTCCTCATACATTTTTTTATTGAAGTGATCTCTGAGGAAAAAGGACCAGAAACGAAAGAGGGTATTCATTTCTTGGGACTGGCCAATTCCCAAGCATTTTCTCTCTGGAGAAAGTTAAAACAACAAAACAATTTTTTTTTATTAACTATACTTTTGAAAATCAAGACAACAGGCATTTTAAATAATTTAAAATGAAGAAATTCTCAATATACTTAGCTTTCCTCTAAGCAAAAGACAAATGTTAATTTATTTTCTGACTCACTGGTCATATTTTAGGTTTCAGTGGACCTTCTAGGCTAAGACAAACTAGGAAGGAAGACATGGCCATTTACTTCCAAAAAAGCTGGCCAGTAAGAATCTTTTGAATAGCTGGTACACTGTCTTATATAGAGCCTTGGTGATAGAAAGAATGTCAGATATCATATGACAGAATTTTGTAAGACCAATAATTCATTGCAAAGACCGTTTTTCAACAACATAAACTGTGGCTACACATGTGGAGAAGGATATCATGCTTGGTAAAATAAAGAGTCAGTGAAAAAGGGGGAAACCCTCAATGAGATGGACTGACACAGTGGCTACAACAATGGGCTCAGGTATAGCAAGGGCTTGACCGGGCACATGACCAGGCAGTGTTTCATTCTGTTGTACACAGGGTCACTGTGACTTGGAGCTAACTCGAAGACAACTAATGACAACAACACACATGTGGACCTCACCAGATGAAATACTCAGGACTACATCTATGGAAAGAGATGATGGAGAAGCTCAATACCATTAGTCAGAACAAGGCTCCAGGGCCAACTGTGAAACAGACCATCAATCGCTCATATGCAAGTTCAAATTGAAGCTAAAGAAAATCTAAGTAATTTCATGAGAGCCAAAGAACAACCTTAAGTCTATCTCACCTGAATTTAGAGATTATCTCTGAATAGACTGGATGCACTGAACACTACTGACCGAAGATCAGCCAAGATCTGGGATGAAAACAAGGACATCACACACAAAGAAAGCAAAAGGTCATTAAAAAGATAGGAAAGAAAAGACCAAAATGGATGTCAGATGAGACCTGAAACTTGTCCTTCAACAGAGAGTAGCTAAAATGAATAGAAGAAATGATAAAGTAAAAGAGCTTAACAGAAGACTTCAAGAGTGGCTAGAGAACACAAAGTAAAATATTATAATGAATTGTACAAAGACTTGGAGTTAGAAAAGCAAAAGGGAAGAATATGCCCAGCATTTCTCAAGCTGAAAGAACTAAGAAAAATAGTTAAGCATTAAGTTGCAATCTTGAAAAAGTCTATGGACAAAATACTGAACTACGCAGGAAACATCAAAAGAAGATGGATGGAATACAGAGTCACTGTACCAAAAAGAAATGGTCAATGTTCAACCATTTCAGGAGGTAGTGTATGATCAACAAACTATGGTACTGAAGGAAGAAGTCCAAGAATTGGTGAATAACAAGACTCCAGAAATTAAAAGAATACCAACTAAGATGTTGCCACAAATGGATGCAATAGTGGAAGTGCTCACTCGTCTATGCCAAGTAATTTGGAAGACAGCTACCTGGTCACATGACTGGAAGAGATTTACATTTTGTGCCCACTTCAAGGGAAGATGATTCGACAGAGTGTAGAAATTATCAAACAATATCATTATATCACACACAAGTAAAGTTTTGCTGAAGGTAATTAAAAAATGGTTACAGTAGTATATTGACATGGAATTGTCAGAAATTTAAGCCAGATTCAGAAGAGGGTGTGGAATGAAGTATATCATTGCTGATATCAGATGGATCTTGGCTGAAATCAGAGAATATCAGAAAGATGTCTATTTTACAATAGCAACAAAGGAAGTGATAACACAATTCATAAACAAAACGAACTCAGCATAGAAAATTATATGGAATGAAGAAATTGACACCACGAGAAAGCACGTAACAAAAATGACAGCAACAAATTCATATTTGCTGATAATTACATATCTGGCAAGGGATTTATCTCTAAGGTTTATAGAAAACTCCAACACCTCAACACCAAAGGAATGTTTTACTGACTATGCAAAGTTTATTGCTTTATTGACTATTCACCTTTGTGGATCATAACAAATTATGGATAATACTGTGAATAACAAGAATTCTGGAATACTTAATTCTGCTCATGCAGAACCTGTATTTCAATCAAGAGGCAACTGTTGGAACAAAATGAGGGGATACTGCAGAGTTTAAAATCAGGAAAAGTATGTGTCAGGTTTGTATCCTTTTGCCATACTTCTTCAATCTGTATGCTGAGCAAATAATCTGAGAAACTGTACCACATGAAGAACATGTCATCAGAATTGCAGAAGACTCATTAGCAACTTTGCCTGCTGAAAGTGAAGAGGACATGAAGCATTTACTGATGAAGATCAAAGACTATAGCCTTCAGTATGGATTACACCACAACATGAAGAAAACAAACAAACAAAAAATCCTCACAACTGGACCAATAAGCAAAATCAGATTTCATTTTACTTGGATTCACCATTAACTATCCATGAAAGCAGCAGTCAAAAATCAAAGGGTATTGCAAAGGGCAAATGTGCTGCTAAAGATCTTTTCAAAATGCTAAGAAGCAAAGATGTTACTCTGGTGCCTGATCCAAGCCATGATTATTTTCAATCGCCTCATATGCATGTGAAAGATGGACAATGAATAAGGAAGCCCAAAGAATTGATGTCTCTTTTGAATTATGGTATTGGCGAAGAATACTGAATATACCACATGGACTGCCAGAAGAACAAACACATCTGTCTTGGAAGAAGTACAGCAAGAATGCTCCTTAGAAATGAGGATGGTGATAAGATGGAGGAATAGGCAGACAAGCGACACAGACCTTCTTCAACAAAGAAAAGAAAAACCAATTGACAGAGATACAGAAGATAATCCTGGAGCCCTGAGCTTTGAAAGGAACTATACAGAAGTGGATTAGGCACCAAGCAGTGGAAAAACCTGAACAAAAACAGTGAGTACAGAGATGGTCAGAGCTGTGGATTGTCAGCTACTTTGACGGCACCAATAGCCTGAATAGTTCCAAGTGGTGTTGGGGACTACCCACTACTGATAGCACCTGAGAATTGACCTAAAGATCAGCCCTGGTCACCAAGGGCTTCAGGGACGAATACACTGGAAGGGAAACAGCAAGGAGGGACTAGGAAGGGAAACAGCAAGGAGGGAGACAACCTGAGCTGTTGACTTTCTGCTGTCCGGACGGTGCAGCCATTTTGATTGTTTACATTTGACAGCCATTTTGGATATTTAAAGTGATCGAGGGTGCAGCCATTTTGAATGTTTATAAGCAGCAGCCATTTTGGATATTTAAAGTGACCGAGGAAACAGCCATTTGGAATCTTTATAAGTGGCAGCCATTTTGGGTTTTAAAGTGACAGCATCCTCATTTGGGTTTCAGGTTCTGTTTGCAAAGGTCAGCAGGGACATATGAGATGCTGACGATAGGAAAGGAGACAGGTGGTGAGTGTGTAAGTGCTGTCAACTAGTGAATGGAGGGGCATAGCACAGTACCCTGCTTGCATAGATAACATACAAACAAAACAAAGAAAACAAAAATCATGGGCAAGTCACTCCAACATACAATCACCAATTAAATATAAACACAAAAATGTCACAATGCCTCAGAGACAACAGAGCATCACAGTCCACACAAAGAAGCGAGATAAAGCAGGAGAAACAAGGAACCAGGATACAGACCCAAAACACATCCCTGAGGAAGACACAGCATTGGAACTCCCTGATAAGGAATTCAAAAGAATTATATTTAGGTATCGTCAAAGGATTGAGAGACAGATCAAGGAAAACAGAGACAAATCCCTAGAAGACTTCTGGAAGAAAATACAAGAAAAAAATGACAAAACAAATGAAAAATCAGAAATGATTCAAAATCTATAGACAGAAATCCAGAATACTAAATTGTCAGAAATAGATAACACATTGGAAGGGCAAAGGAGTAGAACTGATGCAATGGAAGACAGAATTAATGAGATTGAAGACAAATACCTGAATACTTCTTTGTAAAGGGATCAATCAGAAAAAAGATCAGCACAAAAGGAAGAAAGCCTAAGGTTCATGTGGGATACCATCAAAAGGAATAACCTATGTGTCATTGGAATTCCAGAACAGGAAGAGACAAATAAAACCATTGAGAAAATTTTCCAAGACTTGTTGGAAGAGAACTTCCTTGATATAATGAAAGATGAAAATATATCCATTCAGGAAGTCCAACAAACCCCAAACAGGATAGACCCCAAAAGAAAATCACCAAGATATATCATCATCAAACTCACCAAAACCAAAGACAAAGAAAGAATTCTAAAAGCAGCACAGGAAAAACAAAGTTACCTACAAGGGGCAACCAGTAAGACTAAGCTCGGATTTCTTGGCAGAAACCACATAGGCAAGAAGGCAATGGGATGGTATATGCAAAATCCTTAAAGAGAAAAATTTCCAACCAAGAATTATGTACCCAGCAAAACTGTCCCTCAAATATGATGATGAAATTAGGACATTTCCAGATGAGCAGAAATTAAGGGAATTTGTGAAAATCAGACCAACCTTATAAGAGATGTTAAAGAGAGTCCTTTGGACAGAGAAGCAACAACAGCCAATAACAACTGACCATTAACACACATGGTGATATAACCCAGACACCAACCCAACTATGGAAGTACCCAAAGTAAGTAAGCCTGCAAGATTGTAAACAGGGAACCAGAGACATCAATCGACAAATGAGGACAACTACAAACCCAAAAGAGGGAAAAAACTGTATCATTACAAAACTTCTAGATGGTAGGATGTCAAAACAACTACAAGATAGAACAGACTGTTCTAAACTTGGGAAGAAAATTATAAATCACAGGGCACCTCAAAGAAAAATGATAGGCCTTCACATCAAAATAAAAAAGAGGACCAGCACAAATACTTAGCAAATACTAAAACAATAGCAACCAAGGAAATCATAACACAATTCATAAACAAAACGAACTCAGCATAGAAAATTATACGGAACAAAGAAATTGATACCACGAGAAAGCATGTAACAAAAATGACAGCAACAAATTCTATTTGCTGATAATTACTTATCTGGCAAGGGATTTATCTCTAAGATTTGTAGAAAATTCCAACGCCTCAACACCAAAGGAATTAACAATCCAATTGAAAAATGGGCAGAAGACATGAATAGACACTTCACCAAGGAGGATATTCAGGTGGCCAGGTAATACAAGGAGAGATGCTCACAGGGGACATCAAGCTCAATTGGCATAACATACTATATGAAACATTGTTCCACCTCCTACTTTGGTGAGTAGCGACTGGGATCTTACAAGCTAGCAAGCTGCCATCTAGATGCAACGATAGGTCTCTCCTCGTCAAGAGCAAAGAAGAAAGAAGAAAACCAAAATTAATGGAAACAATCAGTCCTAGCGACTGGTACACCATCC